GTTTTTCAGATATGTAGATTCGCGTTATGGGGCGTTAGAACTCTCGATGCATTCCTAAAGTACATTCGCATGTCAAACATAACTACAAGTAGTTGAGAAGTTAATCTTATGGGGATCGATACGGCTGCATAATTTGACCAAGTAGCTGACATATTATTTACCAGTGTTTTAAGTCACACATTTCTATTTGATCCATGGTACTGGTATGGTTCTGTTTCCATGCCGTTTTGCTGATACAGGGGCAAGGCTATATGGTCGGTTCAGTTCCTTACTTTTACTAAATTGGCACTGCAAGTAAAAACAATTTATTACAATGTGCATTTCCATAGCATTATCAGTTGATTTACCACCTACTTTGTTAGGTTTAGTTTGGCTGTTTGCAGTTCTGGTTGGGTGGGGGTGCCTCCTACCCAAGGAGGCTTGTGGAGGGAGAATGCCCCCACCTTTTCTGTGAGAACTGTTATTGTCATTTATGGAAATTTATATTCATTTTGGATTAATTAATAAATCGGCATGTGCTCAAGCACATAGCCATTATTTTCCCAAATGGGTGTAATTGTTCTATTGTTTTGTATCCAGAGAAAACAGAGCTCGTCAGTACTGCAAAATTGCCGCTAAGGGGACTGGGTAGTATTGTCCATTTAAGGGAAAGCGATAAATAGAGGATTTATGGTCATCGCTCTATTGTCCTATAGGTTACTACTCCATATCTTTTCATTCCACTGTTACAACATGAACTAGATGTATTCAGAGAGACAGTATGGAATACACACCGGATTAGAAAGCAGGATACTCATCTTCCAAATGGCATACCAGATCAGGTGTACAATTTCCCAGAGGAGTATGGTCTTGGCAAATGTGGTAATATTTTACCAATACATTAATCTCTCCAATAAGCCCCTTCTCAAGTACCCCCTCAAAAATCCCTCCTCCAAATGGCCTGAAAACAGGCACCTGGGGTGGACCATATTAGGAGATACTATGCCATTGCTATTACTGCATGATACAAGTTGCATAAAGACTTCTCCCATTTTATCCTTAGCAGCCTTGCTCCAGGCCTGTGCCTGCCTGTATTTCTGTTTATAAGCATCCCTTTTTTATGAAAATGTTTTCTGTATATTTGTATATACACAATCAATTTGAACAAATGTATAGTTATGTGCTAAACAGTTTATGTTGGGAAGTAACAGAGGATCAGTTCAGAGAGGCAGCATTTCACTCAGGTGTTTTCGATGTTGAAGATGATTGTTGAATTATGGGACAGCTTAATTGAATTTTACATTGGTCTTACTTGTTACTGTTAAAGGTGGTTATTTGAAATGGAGGGGGGGGGGGGTATTTGACATAGTGATTTAAAGGCCTGTTTACACATGAAAACGAAACTGAAACAGCTGCTGTTGCTACCACAGCTTTTGTAAGTGTATTGCTCGCACGTTCTAAGTGAAAAAAAGCGCCGTAAAGCAAAGTTTGGATAAAGCCGTAGATTGCGAGCAGGGAATCAGACGGGGCTTTCCACAAATTGATGAAAGATTTAGAAAAGGATGTCGATAGCCTGAAAAATTACTTGAGAATGGATCTCCCTGTATTTGAAGAGCTACTGGGGAAAATAGGCACATACCTCCAAGAGAAAGATACTTTTTTCGCAACTCGATAAGTCCTGCCGAACAACTGGCTGTTACCCTTCGCTTTCTGGAAACAGGCGAATCGTACACAAGTTTGCAATACCAATTCCGCAACAATAAAGGTACTTTGTCAATCATTATTCCTAAAGTTTGTAACACCATTCCCACATATTGTTCGGAGTATATTGAATGCCCAAGCACTGCTGAATGGTGGGGAGAAATTGCAGCTGAGTTTTACCAGCGTTGGCAACTACCGAACTGTATTGGTGCAATTGATGGCAAGCATGTACGAATTGTCCATCCTTGGTGTTCTGGCTCTGATTATTACAACTACAGCATTGTGCTCATGACTATTGTGGGCCCTTCCTTGGAATTCATATACGCTGATGTGGGTTGCCAAGGACGTATCAGTGATGGCGGTGTGCTGAGAAACACCAATTTCTTCAAAGCATTAGAGGCAAACAGTTTGGGCATACCAAACCCTAAATCTCTTCCAACAGCCCCAGAAAATCGCGGCCACGAAGACAAGGATAGTTCTTGCCAAATACCGCATTATTTTGTCGGCGATGATGCATTCGCGTTGGCTCCAAATATGATGAAGCCATACCCCCAAAGAGCTTTGACGAAGGAACAACGTATATTCAACTATCACCTATCCCGAGCGCAGAGAGTCAGTGAAAATGTGTTTGGAATTATGAGTGAAAAATTTCGAATGTTTCATACGACACTTTGTGCTAAGCCAGAGAACACAGTTGTTATCATCCACTTCACAATTTCCTGTTGAGAAAATGCCCTTCGATTTACGCTCCCGTTGGATCTCTAGATCACCCAAACGACTAAGGGGAGAAATTATAGATGTGATTGGAGACAAAGCACAGACTGTGCTGGAGCTTTTACATCTTTCCTTTCAACCAGTGGTAACCATCTCAAGAGTGCCAGTAAGATCAGAGATTGCTTGTCACAATATGTCAATGGACCAGGACAAGTGCAGTGGCAATGGAAAACATTACTGGCATAACTAACTATTAGATGTTTTGACTGTTGACTTGTTTTCAAAGGGTATAAACATTGAACCATTTGTGAAACACCATTGATTGAATTGTTTACTTGTATAATTAATATATGCAAAATACACATTAGTTTGAAAGTGTTCTTAAATTATTATCCAATCATATGTCGTGCATTGTTCTAATAATTTTGTTTATGCGTTTTGGCTTGTTTTTTTTTCAAAGAGCTTCTTTATTGTGTTTGGTTGTCAAAATATTCAAAATTCGTTTTAAGTCAGACACAGTGGTCAGTGACAGTGTAAAGGACTAGATGTACTATAGCTGAACTATGCTTGTAGTGTGCTTGATTATATAGGAATATTAGCTCGGTTTTGTATAGTTTATATTGCACATATTGTGTGCAATATTAAAACGTTCAATATCGTGTTTATACTGCAACAATCAAGATATGCGTTGTCGGCGTTGATATCAATCAAACACAAAGTGACAATGAAAAACAGCTGGTATATATTGGATATAGTGATAAATCGGAATGATTTTAATAAAAAATGACCTGTAATTGTAAAACCTGATATTGTTAATATTTTAAATCAATTAAAACATAAGTCCTTGACTTTCAGATGCCCAAGAGGCTGATGGCAGTTGATCCTGTCTGCTGAACTCAGCATTAAACAAAAGCTGCTGAATCTTTAGCTTCAGCAGTTCTTTAGTACACCGGTCTTCAATTTGCCTCAACGAATGTGCAACATGCATACTGAACGTTTCATCGGTGTCAAATTCCTCTGAATGGTTGCGCTTATTACTTGCAAGCTTGTCCAGCACCGTCAACGATTTGTGTAAGACAATATTTTCCATCTTTTCACGGACATTGGCTTTCGACTTCGCCGACTTGCTGGGATCATTTTGCGACTGGGTTGATTTCACTTATGGTGCTTCGTCTTTGATAAAAAATGCTGCATCTTTCTATCTCCACTAGGGCCGGCTGGCCAGCCCTACATGTCTAGTCAATGGAGGGAATGTAGAGTAGCTCACTTGCCCTGATCAGCACCATAACTACTTTCATTATATACATATAAGCACATATATTGAATGAAATAGTTAAGAAAACAACAAAATACTAATAAAACTGACTTAATACAGTCTTCAATTTTCAACATAACATGTTTCAAACAGGAGAATGGCATGCATACATACATATAATAATAAATATGCCTCCAAATCCATAATGGTATATAAGCACACATATTGAATGAAACAGTTAAGAAAACAACAAAATACTAATAAAACTGACCTAACACAGTCTTCAATTTTTAACATAACATGTTTCAAACAGGAGAATGGCACACATACATACATATAATTATAAATATGCCTCCAAACCCATAATGGTATATGGTATAATAGGGACATGTTTCTTAATAACTGCAATATCAGTTCACTTTTGGGGCCTACATGTAGATTGAGAAAACATATTAGTTCAATAACAACTTCTTGTACAGTGTCATGTGGAGCGGAGCGGACGTATATTTTTGTGCTCTGATAAATTTTATATTTTAACCAAAGAACTGTACTTGTATCATGCCAATGCTCATACTAACAATTGTATATATACATATATACAAGGCTTATCAATAAAAAGACTTATCAATATATACAAATAGCTGGAGAGAAAGCTGATAAGTCAAGACTGCTCAAATAACAATCATGCAACGAAGCTCGATCGCTGAGTTAAAGATGTCGTGGTCAGGAGACTTTGAATCACTCAAACGGTTTGTCAAAGAGTTGTTAAACATCGTCGGGACATGGTCCTCGCCTGGCGGAGAAAAAGTTATTCTCAAGCAGTGATGTTAACATACAATGGTGGAAAAAAAAGAAATTTTTAGCTGTCGACGGTCCAGAGGCAAGTAAAGTTATTCGTTGTCTTTTAAATTTTATCGATAGTTCGTTCGCAGAACAGTGCTCCGATAACATTGAAGTTTCGTCTGACAAATGCCAGTGTACCGGGGTGGAAATGGAAGGTGTAAAGTTAGATATCGTAATTTTAGAAGCTAAATTTAATAAACAATCGGACGCACTTGAAAAATTACACAACGAGATGGCCAGTCTTATTTCTAAGCCTAAGGCCGCTCATTTGGGCGAATCGTTTACTGAATCCACACAGAATGGGGAAGATATTCCCACAGAGTGTCTTCAAAATGACAAGATTCAGCATTTAGAAGCAGACATTGCTATCTTAGTCAGAGGACGAAATTTCGAGGTAAATGAATTAAATAATATTATTGACACTCTTAACAAAAAGAGTGAACTAATTGAAGCATCAAATGTGGCCCTTAAACATGAAATTGTTGGCTTAAAAATGCTAAAGTCATCAAACCATTGTAATATGGGTAATTGGAACAGTGAACAATGCGATCACCAAAGTCTAGATCTCATTAATCAAGGGACCAAACAAAAACAAATGCAAAAATATGGTAATCGTTGCCTAAATGATAAGGCACCCGTGCATGAAGTCTCTATGGTCTCACTTGAAATTGCCAATGAACACGTATCTGAAGCGGAACAGCATAACATTACGAATAATTTACCAACTACTATTACAGACAATAGTGCCATTATAATAGCTGATGAATGTGCATCTGAAGTGGATAAGCATAACATTACGAATAACGTGCCAGCTACCTCAGTAAATAACACCATTATAATGGCTGATGAACGAAAATGGCTTGGTCAACTCCCTTTGATTGAAGCACCTAATAACACTACGAATAATTTACCAACTACTATTACAGACAATAGTACCATTATAATAGCTGATGAATGTGTATCTGAAGTGGATAAGCATA